TTGCCGAGTACATATAGAAATGAAATAGCAGAACCAGAATTCAAACTCCAGTGATTGGACTCCAGATACTCTGAACTCAGTCACATTCTACTTCTTTAGTCTGTGTATTTCACTGGAGAGTTATTTATTCCAGAGGTATTTGCTGAACATCTATTCTGCATGCAACCTATACCCTATAATCAATGTTTTACAGAAAAAATATGCAACCCTGAATCTCCTTCATAGGATGAAAAGCTAGCTGTATAAAACTCTGTATTTAGGCAAAATCAAGGAGGCCTGTGTTTTCTCCAACCTTTAAGTGACATTTGTTGCATTTTGCATTCTCTCTCATGTTCTGAGCTCTTGGGTTTTTTTTTTTTTCCCTGTTTCAGCAGTGACCTCTGGTCTGGCAGGGGCTTAAAAGTTATCCTAAACAACATTCCTGTACCCATTTTTGCTCTCCTCATGAAGGAAGCTATTCTAGTTTCTGGGCCAGTGGCACCATGGCTGCCAACTGCATCACCTGTCTGTCTATGATACCTAGTGAGGCTCAGTAACTAGGTTAGCATGCTGCACAGTGCTCGACATCTCAAATCCTTCATTTCCAAAGATCTGTCATGTAGTCTGTTATTAAACAATATTTCAATGTCTTTTGTTCTTGTCTCCTCTCATGATTTACTTCTCAAGATTCTTTGGAAATAGTTTTCTAACTTGTTAATGGTTTCTTCCACATAAAAAATCTTGTGGACAGAATATAAGACACTATGATTTAAGGTCATATGTTAGTAATTGTAGGAATCTAGCTCCTTAAATTTAAAAAAAAAGAAAAAAGGAAAATATTCATCTATATTTTTCTAATATAATGGCTTGTCTATAATTAATGATTCAAACTTGATAATACTAATAGTCATAATTATTAGAATTGATTGAATACTTTTTCTGTCACTCATTCCAAATATTTTCATGTATTAATTCAATTGATTTCCTTAGGGACTCTCAGTAGAAGATAGAATTATTGTTGCTTTTTACAGGTGAAGAAATTAAGGCACCGAGTGGTGAAGTAACTTGTTCAATGTCACAGAAGTTCGGTGTCACAGTCTGGTTTCATAATCACTATGCTACTCTCACAGTATTTTCAGATTATTGGCTAGATTTAACACCACTTGAAGGGTATGGTGACAGACATTCTGAACTGGTGTACCCAGAAAGCAGGTTAAGTCTGTTATTTTTCTGTCTTCACACATGGGGCTCATAGACTATGGTTCATGGTTGCCTGTAAGAATTCTTATAATTTTCAATTTTGGTTTAAGTTAAACCACAGCCCTATCAGAATTTCTACAAATGTCTTTGTGATTCAATGACTAAAAATTTAGAAATAGTTTATTATTGAAAGAGTAATCCCTGAAAGCAGACTCTTTCGTAGAATTTGTCACTCTCTTAAGATCATAATCAAAAGAACAAAGAAATTGTGAACCATTTGAATGGAGAAGTCTTAAATTGTGCACAGGAGCATTTTTGACTGGAAAGAAACTTAAATCTGCCATAATGATTATTGATTTTTTTTATTATCTTGGAGCATTTATTATTGATATAAGTTAAACCACAGCCCTATCAGAATTTTAAGATAATAAATGATACATTTATTATCTTGAAAATTCAGCTTTACAGGCACATGTTCAATGCAAAACAATTTAAATGAACATGAGTCAGTGATCATTGAAAATCTAAATATTCAGAACATCTAAAATTCATATTTCATATTTTTCTTTTTATATACACAGGCATATTGTAATTTAAATGGCATTGCCTTCTAAATGATGTGTAATAGAAAACAGTATGTTTGTTTTCAAGTAATTTAGAGAAAAATATATTAAACTAGCTAGAGTTATGTTGAGGAAGTCAGGTAAATATTTTAGGGTTAAATATTGTAACCCTAAAATTATGACTGTATTGAATCCAACAATAAAACACTAAGACAGACTAGGAAGATAGTCACACTGTCATTGCTTTTGTTGTTTGTTCAGTCTACTCACTATATTTATCTGTTTGATTTATTTTGACTAGTTTTGAGCTGATGACAGCCAGAAAAAAAACTGAGTTTAGATCTTTGCAAAATGTGAATAATTTTGTAATCAAATAGTACTACTATAAGCTTTATTTAACATTGCATTTATTGATTTGTGTTTTAATTCAGCATAGAGACAATAAATAAAACTCTCCACTAACGTAACTATTTTTAAACTGATTTATTGTAGGAGGAAAATACATCTTGACTTTTTTGATAAATATTTCTATAATATAACTTGCATTAAAATAATAATTCAAGATACTCAGTTTTCACTTGTGCTGTTCATTATTTCAGAACTTCGAGAAACCAAGACTTCTGAATACTTCAGCCTATCCCACCATCCATTAGACTACAGGATATTATTAATGGATGAAGATCAGGACCGGATATATGTGGGCAGCAAAGATCACATTCTTTCCTTGAATATTAACAACATAAGTCAAGAACCTTTGAGTGTAAGTTTATCATTTTCATGAGGGCAACGTTGACCTCTTGGGTGCCTTTTTATTCAAAAATTTCAAATACAATGAATAAAATACATATTTCATTAAAACAATAGAAAATACAGGCCACATGTCAATAAATAGTTTAAAATTAGCACTTATTTCCTGGACTTAAAATATAGTCAGTTCAGTTCTCAATGTCAAGTTTCTTGTTTTTAACCATCTAAAACCTGAAGCTAAGGGAGAAAACGCTTCCTGTGCATACATATGTAGAAAGGAAAAAAGAGAAACACAGAGAATAGTACAAAAAAATGGTTAGATTGAAAGGACAGCCCACCCTGTCATGTTTGTAATCCAAGAAGTTCTTGAAAAGAATACAGTTATTACATTCACTGTTCTTTGAACAAGTGTGGCCAATACAGTTGACCCTTGAACAACTGTAGGTTTGAACTTCACAGGTCCACTTACATTCAGACTTTTTCAGTAGTAAATACTACAGTACTACACAATCCACAGTTGGTTGAATCTTCAGATGCGGAACTGAAATATGGAGGAACCATGGATACCGGGGTCCAACTATAAATTATACGTGGAATTTTGATTGTGCAGAGTTTCGGTGTCCCTAACCCCCGAGATATTTAAGTGTCAACTGTATTTATCATTCTATTTGACAACAAGGAAACAAATTGGACTTCATTGGAGTGAAGAAATAAGAGTAAATGAATTATAAATTTATTACAGTAAGGAGTCTTCTGAATTTATTATTTTAAAAATGGGCTACAGGTTGACAATTAAAAAAAAAAAATCACCACAAGACCTGACCCAAGACTGCAGTCACTTAAAAAATGCTAGCACCGGATGTCAGAAAGGGAATCTCTTGGCTTTTATCCAAGTTATTTTCACTGATAAAGTACCTAGTTTGAAGTAAATCTACCAGCCCAGCTGTGTGATTTACAAAAAAATCTTAAATAGCAGTATAAATATAAATTCATTGTCATATAAGCAGTTGGGAAAAGTGTACTATAAATCAGAAAGAGGGAAATACACATTATATTGTGCACATTAATAATTTCCTTATTTTAAAATTGTACCATTAGTAAATGGGTGCATATTATAGAAGGGCTTATTAAAGGAAAAATTCATGGAGGAAACAAAAACATAATTGTTAGAATAAACTAATAAAATCTTTATTAACTTGAATTCATCAAATGAAAGAAGAAAGAATTTTGAAATATAAACATTGAAATAACTTAAAGAAATCAGTTAGCATAAAATAAATGAAGAGCATTTAGCTGTCATATATACAAGTGAGATTATGCAACCTTTGTTTTCCTTTCTGAGCAGGTTTTCTGGCCGGCATCTGCAGTCAAAGTCGAAGAGTGCAAAATGGCTGGCAAAGATCCCACAGTGAGTGTTTAAAAAAAAAAACAAAAAACCTAAAACTTAAATATTTGGTCTTTGAATCCATGTACTTTGAGTGCAGCCAAGAGTTAGACAAAGGGTGTTGGTGTTTTAAATCCTCTGTTAGACACATGGTAAAAAATGTAAATGCAAAGTGATTGGAACTCTTAAACACTGTAACTTAAAAATTCCTGACTGGGTAAAAATTTCCTGCTTTGCTTCCATTATTACATCCTGACACTTTTCATGATGGATCTCAGTAATAACCCCTGCTCGAAGTGGATCCAACCTGCAGAATTCTCAGCAGGCTGCTGAAATAATGATAATTCAAGTGTCTGGAGTAGCTCCCAGATACCTTGTGGGCTTTTCCAAAGAAAGACTCTCGGCAAAAGGTTAGTGGTTAGCCAGCACATTCCAGAGGCATAAATCACCAGGAGTGACTGGTATCTTTGTTAATTAAAAATAACCACAGAAACAAAAATCAAGGCAGATATAAATATCAATAAGTGTTTAGTGTGCAGTACTTTTACAAAATGTATTCCTTTAGGTAAGATTCCATATTGAGTCAAGAAATAAATCTATATTGATTTCTACAAATGATTTGCTGAAATTGACACATTAAATTATTCTTGAATATTATAAAAAAATGCATAAAACATCTTTAATGTGCACAGGTCATTTAATGTTTATAATGAAGCATATATTTCATTTCAGCCTCTAGTCTCAAATAACATAGTGAAACAAAGTATCAAAATCACCCACTCTTACACAAATAATTTGGTAAAGAAGTTTCTTCATTCATTCTTTCAATTATTCATTTAACAAATATTGATTATACACCTGTTATGTGTCTGGTACAGTGTTAATTGTTAGCAACATAATTTGTGCCAAAATAGATGCAGTTCTGGCTCTCATCAACTTCATTACCTTGTGAGAGGAGTCAACATTAATCAAATGAGCATGGAAATGCATATAATACAGGTATGAGACTGAAATACAATAATTGGGTAGAAAAACTAGTAAATACACACATATAAATACAATGAAGTCTAATGTCATAACAAATCATGGCATGGATTTAGTGTCAAAAATGTTGACTAAACACTTACCAGTATAAGCATAGAGGTAAGACGTGCTGATTTCAGGGATGAAGGCTGTGAACTGAGCCTTGGTCGTGAGTGTTTCACAGGTTCATCAAGTTGGTTCAAGCAAGGAAAAGACTAGTCCTTGTGGAAGGAGGAAGTGTGGATATGAAACTTTTATTTTTATTGACTCTTAACAGTCCAGGTACAACATTCTAAAAAAGCCTGGCTTAAGGCAGGGCCAGAAAAGACTCTGAGTGTAGGATTTCTGGGTTTCACTGGAGGGTGTTCTGGCAAGAGTGCTCACCAGGAGTGACTCAACTTAGGGTTTCACTGTTTTAGTTTCATAATTCACCTTATAAGAGAAATTTTAAAGTGGGCAGAAGGAGCTCACAGGATCATATTTGCTACCCACAGGATCTGCTGGTCCACAATCAGGAAGGAAAAAAACCCAGAAAAACATGGAGGAAACATTAAAAAGAGTACATTACAATTGCCTTCTAGGGAACTGAAAGCAGAGTGAAGTATAATGTTGTGGAAACAATGCTTTCCTTTGGTCCTCTGAAGCTATTATTTCAATATTTATGCATGAATTAAACTGTTTTCTTTCATTCTCTAATGTGGGGATTTTTTCCCATTGATGTATATGTGATCATGTCTTGCCTTTTGCCACAATAATATCCCATGGCTATAATTACTGGATTTAATTGTTCAAAACTATTTTATTTCCCATTCATACAAACTGCCCCAGGCAGAATACACAGGATTTAGATACCTTTGCGTATTCTCTTTCCAAAAATTGCTGTTGATTTTCTGAAGAATCTTAGCCAAGTCATTTGATTCTTTTCTCCCTTTGGCAAAGTAGAAATGCTCTGTTATTTGCTTTCTTACAATTAAAGGTCATTAGATGGAATCTTCAATATATGCTCATGTTTTCACATAGCTTTGTCATGCTGTAATATCATTCATGGATATCTTTATATTCTGACATAGAGCCAATTAGTATACATAACAGAGGTAACTGGTGGAGGGTTCTGTTGTAGTACAGCCGACATTGCTGGATCCTGGGAAATAATAACCAAACTAACTCTTTTAATTATATGTTCTGTCTATGCAAGAGAAGAGACTGTTGACAAATTTACCTTATTTCATCCATGTGAAGTACTTACAAAGAAGTGTCTTTTAATCAGGATACCAGTGGTAGAAAAATGATACTAAATAGAAGTTCTGCAGGACAACATATTTTCATTACAATTCTCAGTGAAACCAAGTATTTAAGAATCTCGTAACTCTTTTGGAATAAATATCATCTAATTACTTAATATTTACTTTTTAAGTGCAGGAATTGAATATTTTAATTTGCAAAAATTGATTGGTTATTGTGAAGAAACTGGGGGTGAATAAGACGGAGTTCCTACCTTTAAGAGTCTTTACAATATACTGGAGTGGGCCAGGTGTTGTTCTAAGCGTTTTATTTTCATCTTCATGACAATGCTACAAGATGGACAATATTGTCATTATCACATTTTTAAGATAAAGAAACCGAGTCACTAACAAAGTGAGGAACTTACCCTTAGCTGCACTGCTAGCAAATGGGAGGCCACTGTCTAACTCAGGCACATATGGTTCTAGATCTTGTGTTTTTAGCTGATAAAACATGCTACCTCTCTAGGGAGAATATGATAAATGGTGAGAATACACACAAAAGACAAAGAAAAAATACAGCTGGAATATTTAGGAAAGGCTTGATAGATTTGGTGGCAACTATTGTAGATCTTACATTAACTTTTCCCCTTATTTTATTTCACTGATACTGAAATTGAAATAAGTTTTACCCTTTTGCTCTTTCAGCCTTTGATATGAGCTGCATGTAATTCTCTTCTTGTTTGATTATCTTCCCATCTTTTTAGGCTGGGAATCATCTACTCATCCTTTCAAGTGACAGTGCAGATGCCACTTCTCTGGAGAGTCTTTTGTTGCCACCCAGGACTGGGTTAGCTGTCCCTCCCTGTGTGTGCACCTGAAACACTCTAGATCTCATTTCAGTGCATTTTTAGTGATGAGAAATGCCATGCAGTGTCATTATCTCCAGCGCCCAGATAAATACCTAGGCACTTAATAAAATTTAATTAAGACCTGGAAAAATAGACATGGAAGCAGCAGGTGATTATCACAGGTTGAGGGTAGGACACACTGGATAATGAATTTATTAATGCCTTGAGATTAATAAAATTTATAGTAAATTTATTATGCACCATTTTTAGAAGTACATTTTGGTTAAATTAATTTTTTTGCTTTTTATATATTGTATTTATCATCTACTAAGCAAAGCATAGAACTAGTGACAAATTCCATACTTCTGTAACAATTGAACAAAAAGAAAACATTGAATCAAATATCTCTTATTCCTTTAGATTTTTTTACTTATATTAAATGTTAATTAAAGTTGTAAAAATAGCAGTTACTGAAAATAACTCAATAAATTTAAATTTTGATCCCAGGTAATATATATCATAATACTATAATAAACTAATGTTTATAAAGAAAATAACTTATCATGGTAGAAATACAGCTTATTTTCTACCTCAGCTAAAGAGAGTATAACCTACTTCCCATTTCCCTCTCTGCCCCTATTTATTCACATTCCTACATGCTCCATTTATTTCTAAATGTTAATATTTTATTCATACTGTAAATAAACTGAGGTTAAACAATAGCACATGCTGTCAAACATATTCATTGAGATAGGGCATAATGAATGTGCTAAGTAAATACTGTACGAGATCATTGAAAAATTAAGCAGGGTTACATATATTTAGACATATATACATTACATATACACAATGTCAAACTTGATTTATTAATTGTAGAATATCAGTTTCCCTATTTCTGTGACCAGGAGATCCTAAATTACTTGAAAGTATATTTTCTTTAGGAATACATTTATCAAAATACCTTGATTTATTCCCCAGCCCAAGAAGTATAGGCCAAGAAGAAAAAAATAAGAATTTTTTTCCCCCATTGTATAGTATGGACCACGAAGAGTCAATATGTTTAAAGCCCTATTCACCTGAGCTCCAGGATATATTTTTGAAAACATCTATTTATAAATTATTTAACTGACACCTGTTCAATACAGAAACATTTGAAGGCCTAGAAAAGCATGTAGAAAGCAACAGAGAACAATCTCTTATTAGCTCTCTGACCCTGAAGACTTAACCTCTCTGTGCCTCATTTTTCTTTGCTGTATAATGGACATATGCATAATACCTACCTTATTGGGATGGTAAGAAGATTAATGAATTAATATTTGCAAAGAGCTTAGAATAGTACATAGCACAGGTAAGCACACACTGTTAAGTAAATAAAATAAATTATACTACTCAAACTTAATCAATTAAAAATTTGGGGTATATTCTTCCAGCATTTTATTATATGACATATATGTGTAAATAAATAAAATGATATTATATTCTACATAATGTTAACAGCCTGATTTTTTATTTAGCATTATACCTTGAAATAGTTTTGAAAGAGAATTAAATAATAAAAAGAAAGCATCAGGAAACTGAATTTCACGAAAGTCTCATTCCCCAAACTTTTCATGGGTGTCTACTATGATCAGGACCTGAACTAAGCTCTATGCAAGACAAATTCCCTGTTCATAGGGAATTTTCTATGCTGACAGTTGGAGTTGAAAATACATATGGAAGAATCTAAGATCTAACATTGTGTATATTTATTATGTGCCAGTCATTGTTCTGAGTGCTTTAGTAGTTTACTACTTACAGCAAATATTATCATCATCATTTACAGATGAAAAGAATGAAGCACAGAGAGACTAAGTAAATGTCTCAAGTTCAAATACCTAGTCAAAGATAAAGCCAGCGTTTGAACACAGGTCATCTGGCTCTGAGATTTGTATACTAAAAATCACTCTTTACCACCCATCTGAAGACTATGGCATGTCGATAGTCCAATTCTAATTGCCTCTCTGGTTTCATCACACAGTAATCATTTATCCCCTGAAGGCACTATTCCTGCAAGTAAATCCTGCACTGTCGTGCCTTCAGTTTTTTGTTCATGCACTGTTTTCTATTGGAATGTCTCGTATGCTTTTTCCTGTCAAAATCTCTAACTTATTCTGAGTTCCAGCTCAAATGGCACCCTCTCTCAAACCTTTACACCCTAGCACCATTACTCACGTTCTTGTCTTTCCCTCTGTAGCACGTTTTAAAAAACATAACCCTATTATAGCATCTACTACAGTCTGATGCATTATGCTCTCCTTTCTCTGACAACAGGAGTTGAATCTTTTCATTTCAGTGTTGCTAGCACCATATACGTGCTTGCACAGAATGGATGAGTTCAGTAAGTAAATATTTGATGGTTGGAATTGCACAATTGCAGTGGTCTAGGTCAGAAATAATGTGAACAGAAACTAAGACAGCACAATGGAAGTGGAAAGGACTTAGAAAATTATTTTAAATAATTAAATCAATTGAATTGTTTTTCCTTTTGTATTTTTCTCTGTGAGGAGGCTTGAAGGGGCACGCTAAGCATCATCAGATAATGTGCTGGAGGGTAGCCATGATTCAGGCCCCAGCTGTGCTGCTTACTAAACCTAGAACATTTCATTTATCCTCTTTGGGACTCAATTTCCTCATCGCTAAAATGGGACTAATACTTTAATTGGAACATTGCTGTGAGGATTAAAAACAACTAACTAAAAGATTAAGAGCTCTGTAAATACTGTTAACTGTTATAAAAGCTTCCCTGTGGTAACTATGGATTCCTCGCCCAATGACAAATTATTAAAGTGGTTAAAAGTACAAGATTCAATGTTAGACACATCTGTGTTTGAAAATCTACTTTACCTGTTTCAAGCTACATGACCTTAGGCAAGTCAGCTAAATAAGATCTAATTTTTTTATTTTTCTAAAAGATTTAAGTTGAAAAACGGGATTGAGTATAAAGTCCCTAAGTAGCATGTACTTTGGTCAATAAATGTGTGTCTATAAAGGTAATAAATCAAACCTCCTGGGAAGTAAAAGAGGTTAAATATATAAAATGATTATACTAATGTCTAACACATAATACATTTTCAAAAATATTAGCCACAGTAAGCATATATATAATGTATGTAGATTTAAACATATACATAAAACAAGTATAATCTGTATTTGAAATGTAAAAGACATAATAGTGACTTCTTTCATTTTACTAATACCAAT